TAACTTGCCACCAGTGTAACAAAAGTTATATAAATTTTGAAGAGTGCAGGGGTCAAACGTCCCCCCGTTAGGCCATGGGCTGCCATTAAGCCAGTAGGTTGGCCAAGCCACCTGGCAGTAAAAGATTAGTTTTTTGATTTTTATAGCCTTCTTTAGGCCAAGAGCACCAAGGTTACGAACTAGGCAACCAGACGTGTGTTTTTCAGGGGACAGGAAATAGTATTCCCCATGACTGAATTAAAAGTGAGCCAAAAGAACGACTTTGCCTTGGGATATAAGAGCTTTAGCTCCCTCGAAGGAAAGTGAAAATTGTCCTGGATCACACTTATCAAAAGAAGTCATCACCTATTGTGGAGGCATGATATGAAAGGTTCCAACCTGATCTCATTGGCCATCACCAAAAAGCACAGATTGGGATCTCAAAGGACAAGAGTAACAGTTCTGCCTCGGGCCGTCCAAGGAACGTGAGAACTGTTACCTCTGTCCAGGGACAGCTTTGCCCCGGCCCACGAAAACAGAAAACTCCTGATGGAAAATGGCTCACCTATGATAAATGAGATTAGTTGGTGTTGTATTCAGACTGATGGCGGCAAATAAACAGCTTCCGTTGAAATGATAAATTATTCTGAGAAATGGTTCTGAGAAATAGTTCCTAGAAATGGTCCCTAGCGGGGGAAAGGGAAGCTCAAAGTGGGAGTGACTCCCAAGAGCCAGCGCACTCTGCCAGCTTCCCACGTTTCAGTACCAGATTAGAGTTTTTCAGCGCAATAAAGGAGCAGAATATAAAAGTAAAAGTGGCTTTTATTCCAAGGATGTGGAGAGGAGCACATAACTGCATGTGGTCTGGGTTTTCCCATGCCAGGATATGGGGTATGAGGTATATGTAACCTTTGACCTGGGGTGGTGCTTAGGGCGGGCATTGTTGACAGGCGAGGAGCTGATTGGGGAGCTTTGTGTGCATGGGAAAGGCAAAAAGAAATTGTAATAGGGAAAGGAGGAAGTGACCTCAGGGTAAACATCCCCGATTTGGCTTCTTCCACCACCATAATGTCCTCTAATTTATTCTAGGGAAAAACTCTTTCAGTGGGGGTGCACACCTATCATCCTAGGGAGGCTGAGGCAGGAGCATCACTGCAAGTTTAAGGCCAACTTGGGCCATTTAGTGAGTTTAAGGCTGGCCTGAACTGCATAGCAAGGCCCTGTCTCAAAAGGGGAGGGAGCTACTGTGAAGAGATAACCTAGGAAGTACTAAGGCACATAAACCCTCAGTACCTAGTAATTGCTGGTGATCCCAGGCTATGCTGGTCTGGTGGTATGCAGCACCCGTCAGCATCCTGGCATGAGTTCCTGTAGGCAAGAGAGCTCCAGGCCCAGCACTCAAGAGGCTAATGCAGGAAGATCACCAAGAGTTTGAGGACAGCCTGGGCTACATAGTGAGACCTTGTCTCAAAAAAAAAAAAAAAAAAAAAAAAACCAATACAGCCTACAACGTGAGATTATTATTTCTATTATTACTATTATCATGATCATCATCTCTTTTTTTTTTAGACAAAATTTTACTTGCATTTCAGACTGATCTTGAACTCATTTTGTAGTCCAGGAGGGCCTCAAACTCACAGCAACCCGGACTCAGCTTTCAGAGTGCAGGGATTACAGGCATGTGCCACTGATCCTGGCCAAAGAGTTTATTATTAAAATAATAATATTTTTAATTTTTCAGTGATGAAGATCAAACTCAGGCTTTGGACATGATACTTCAACTCATGTTCTTTTATTAATCACTTCCCTTTTGCTCATAAGAAAATTCAAGCTGGGTATGGTGGAGTATGTCTTTAGTCCCAGAACTCAGGAGGCTGAAGCAGGCTGGCCTAAAAATTTGAGGCAAACTTGAGTACCCCTGAGTTCAAGGCCAGCCTGAACTATGTAGCAAGACCTTCTCTCAAAATAAAACAGTCAAACAAACAAACAACGAAAAACAATACTCAAGTTGAGTAGAAATAAATTTCTTCTCTGCTTGCTAGAAAGTGACCACACTAGTAGTCACATCCAGCTGTCCTGTTGGTAAAGCCACTTTCTCCCAGTTCTGCGCTCTGCATTTAGGTAGACTTTGAACCCTGGAAATGATCTACTCAGCAGCCTCTTAGTATGTGTAAGAAAACTGAAGCTCACAGAAAAGGGCTTTGCTCAAGGACACTGAACAAGTCTGTCACCTAGCCAGGAAGGGGACCCAGTCTTTGAATTCCAGGGTCCAGAACCAGGACTCCTTGCCTACTCAGTAGGTCCTATCTGAGAGACCACTGGCATTCACAGGCAGAGTTGGGTTCCAACTCACATCCCTTATCATCCTGCCCAGCTCAGAGCAGCCAGGGCTGAGGTAGAAGTGAGACTTGGTGAGAGTGCAGCCACCATGGCCTACTGCGGTCACCTTCAGAACCAAAGTAACTGGGGACACACAGAGGGCAAGGAAGGTCTGTCTGAATCCTGGCAGGAGTAGGAGAGGAGAATAAAGGCGTGTGTGTGTGGGGCATTGGATTCATGTCAAGTCTTTGTTCCCATCCCTTTTTGGCTCTTGAGTCATTTGCTTATAAGGTTGGGACACATTTTTGAAGGGAATGATCACCGGAGTTCCCTGGCCTTTTCAGGCCCAAGGCCAGTTTCTATCCCTCCTGGGCCTGAAACCAAATCCCCATCACAGTGCATACCCCTCCCTAGTTGGTAATACAGTCACTTTCTCTTTTGATTTTTGCCCTGGGACATGCTCAAACCAGACCTGAGGTTAGAAGTGAGGACCACCTTCATCCTATTTGTCTGGGTATGAGTCCCTGGTATCCAGTGAGGAGTCTTGAATGACATTGGAATGAACCTATTGTCCCTGCCTCTCCCATCCCTTTGTGGTCCCCTCCTCTACCTCTCCAGGCCAATCTTGTGTGGATCAAAGATCTCTCCCTGTCATCTCGCTATCTTGGCGCCTATTCTAGGAACAAACAATCCCCTTGGCCCAGGGGAGCGGCTCTAGCAACCTGAGCCATGGGGAGCAGCGCCCTCGCGTGGCCTTTAGGAGAAGCGGCTCCTTGTTCAACTCCTTTCTATGCGCTCACCTAACAAGTATTTATTGAGAGCCACTACCGGTGTGTGCCAGGCTGCTCAAGGAGCAGCGGCCACCACAGATAAGATACTTGTTCTGTGGACTGTGTATCTCAGTTTTGTGTATGTGTATAGGTAGGCAATAAATGATAAACAAACAAATGAGTCAGTTACAAGTAGTGATAACTGCTAGGAAGAGAATACAGTAAAACAAATGTAATGCTGAGTGAGTCCAGAGGCGAAACTTTGGACAGGATGGAAAAGGAAGGATACTCTGGGCAGGTCATATCTGAAGTGAGATTCAGGTGACAAGGATCTAGCATGTGTAGGGGGAAAGCCATTCTCATAGAACACAGCTACTGCAAAGCCTTCTTAACCCTGAAATCCAGCTCTTGGGAGGCTGAGGCAGGAGATCATTGCAAGTTCAAGACTGCCCTGAGCTACAAAGTGAGCCCAATGCCAGCTTGAATGCATAGTGAGACCCCTGCCTCAAAAACAAAACAAAACAAAAAAAACACCTCCACTGAGGCAAGAGAAGGCTTTGAATAACAGACAGAAGAACGCTGGTGTGACTAGAAAGGAAGGGGATGGTAGTGGTCAGCATGGTGGGCTGAGGTCCAGACTATGGATCTAATATCCAAGACAATGAGTTTGAGTATTCTTCTGAGAGTAGTGAGCAGGTATTTGGTGGGTTGTTATTTTTGAAACAGGGTCTCACTATTTTTTTTTCTTTATGGTCTCACTATTACATAGTTCAGGCTGGACTTGAACTCACTCTGTAGCCAAGGCTGGTCTTGAATTCATAGCCACCCTCCTGCCTCAACCTCCTCAGTGCTGAGGTTACAAAGTGTACCCCCACCCTGGTCATTGATTGACTTTTGAGCAGCAGAGTAATGGAATTTGATTGTCTTTAAAAACTCCTATAGCTGCTTTGTGGACTTTTGGCAAAGGTCAAAGAATAGAAGCAGAGAGACTGCAAGAGGCTAGAAAGCTACTGAAATAATTCGGGTGAGAAATAATGGTAGCTAGGGTCAGGGTAGTAGTGTTGGATTTAGGGAGATGTGGTTTGTTCTGATAGAGTCAAGAAAACTTGTCAAAGGATCATATTCTTTTGTTTATTTAGCACCACTAATGCACACCCTAGTTGTCTCCTTCCTCGTCAGTCAGGAGCTGAATTAAAGGAGCAGATCCTAGTTGCACAGCTAAGTTGAGGACAAAAAAAAAATTAAGACATGACTGTTGTGGCCAGATATGGTGGTGCATGCCTGTAATCCCAGTACTTGGGAGGCTGAGTCGGGAGGATTGCTTCAAGTTCCAGACCAGCCTGGGCTACTAAGTGAGTTTGAGGCCAGCCTGAATTATATAGTGGAAATCCAAAAAAATAAATAAATGTTTAAAAAGACATGGGCATTGTATTTCATGACCTGATTCCACTTTCCATCATTAGCCCATGTACTAGGCAGGGTCATTACTTGCTATCTCCCTATCCTGCCTGACTTCCATTGGCCTGGTTATCTAAATCTCTGTCCAAAATTATGTCTGTGACCCCCAGAGTATGTTGTCGATACTTAAAACAGTTCTGGATATTTAGTATTTATATTTGATACAGGCTAGGGGACAGCATAATCTGTGAGTGTCAGTACTCAAACTAGGTTGACCATCTACTACTGTTTATTTACACAAAATACAATGGGTTCAGACTGATCCCTCAGGAAGTGCACATAGACACTTTGGCTCCATGTTGGGCATTTCTAAAAATCCTAGGAAATGTCAAGCTAGCGTGACAAACACTCCCAGGCCAGCTAGGGTGAGAAAGCAAGTATGGGAGGGGGTGAGCCAGTCTGCTCTGGATCCAACAGGCCTGGCTCTGTTTGTGTTGTGCTAGGCTGGGGGTACATTATAAATGCAGCCAGCCAGAGGACCGCAGGGACTGAACTATTCCTGAGATCTTTTGCAAGCCTCATCAAGATGAAGCTGCCAGGCCAGGAGGAGTGTGACACCTCTGCTGCTAATGAAAATATTTCTGCAGGAGAGCTGGACAGTGACCATGGCCCTGGTCACAGTCCTAGTGGCTCTTCAGAAACCAACAGCAGAGAACTGGGGGTTTCCAGGGATCCTCCACTCTTCATTCAGCTGAATGAGCTTCTGGGCTGGCCCCAGGCACTGGAGTGGAGAGAGACAGGCAGGTGAGTGGGATCCAGGCTAGTTCTACGGGGCTCCTCCTCTTCCCCAACTGGGACTTTCTCCAGGATCCCCAGTACCTTTCATGGGGCTCCTTCTCACTCCAAATCAGGACTTGTCCTCTCCATCTTCTGCATTCTGTGATACTCAGCCTTTTCTGTAGTCTAGTTTTGAGACTGCCAAGATCTAAAATGAGGGTGACAACCCAGGGAGGGGCATACTCAGTACCACTGGGCCCAGGACTCCCCCACTGGCCTGCTTTCCTTGGCTTTCATGTACCTGCTCCTGTTGTGGAAGAGATTTCCTCAATAACACTGTCTATCTCCCTGCATCACAGGTGGATGCTGTTTGAAGAGAAGCTGGAGGTTAGTGCAGGCCGGTGGAGCGTCCCCCATGTGCCCATCCTGGCACTGCCCAGCCTTCAGAAGCTCCGCAGCCTGCTGGCCAAGGGCCTCGTACTGCTAGACTGTCCAGCTCGGAGTCTGCTAGAGCTCGTGGGTATGACACCAGCCTTTGCAGGGGCCCCAGATAGACATGCCATTTCCTCGGGATTTCCCTCAGAGTCTTGGAATTTTCCGTAGCCTATCCCATGCTAGCCCACTCTGGGGACTGTCCAGCGTGGAAATGGAAAAGGAGAGCAGAGAACAATTGTTAGTCCTTCTTTTCCTTGAGACTCCTAAAAGGGAAAGGGCTGGGCAATGGGGTAAGGGTTAAAAAGTGGGATCAGGGAACTTTCAAGGAAGAGTTCCAGCCCCACGTCTGTTCTCCAGAGCAGGTGATCAAAGTGGAGTCGAGTGCAGAGCGGAGAGGGCAGCTGCAGGCTTTGCTGCTGCAGAGACCCCAGCATTCCATCCAGACTACAGGCGCTTGTCCCTGCTGGGGTGAGAGGCTCCTCCTCGGGCCCAGGATCAATATGTGGGATGGGAGGATCTCCGATGTCCCTGCGTCTTCTTGAGCCAGGAGTAGCCTAGGGTTGCCTCAGGCTTCAACCTAGGACTTGTGGGCAAGAGAAAGCTTGTGGTAATGGTGATGGGGAGAGAATGGGAGGAGCACCAATCTTATGCTTTAAAAAGAAAACATATACTTTTTAGCTGGGCATAGTAGCACATACTTATAATTTCAGTGTTCAGGAGGCCGAGGCAGGAGAATTGCCTTTAGAAGCCATCCTGGGCTACATAGTGACTTCAAGGGCACCCTGAACTATAATGCGATTGTGTCTCAAAAAACAAAAAGACCAAGTAAATAAATAGGTAAATAAAATCTTATAATTTAATTTCCTGTGAAGGGATGTACCTGCTAGGTACCGTGCCAGGAGCTTCACACACAGTATCTCATTTAATTTTCACAGTCACCCTGTAAGACAGTACCACAATTCTCCCCATTAGTGATGAAAAACACTCTCATGGCACGCTCCTGTTCTCACAGTTTGTCAGTGGAAAAGCAGGCTGGGAAGCCTGGGTGGACCTACCCCCAAAGCCTGAGCCAAGAACCCTGCATAACCCTGCATAACCCTGTTTTGTAGGATCTACCCTTCCAAGAAAGGCATCTCACAATGAAGGTGTGCTTCTGAAGGAACAGGTTTGTGGCCTTGGGCAGGGTTGGGAGAGGGGTTAGGAATGAACAGAAGCCCATCTCCCACTGGATCCCTCATCCATCCCTGGAGATTCTGCCAACACCCCCATCCCCAAATAGCCTCTTCTGTTCTGTGTCACCCAGCATCAGAACCCTCTGAAACAGAAGCTGCCTCCAGAGGCTGAGGCAGCTGCTGTGCTGACAGGAGAGCTGGGCTTTTTGCCTCAGCCTCTGGGGGCCTTTGTGCGACTGCGGAATCCAGTGGTGTTGGGGACGCTCACTGAGGTGCCCCTCCCCTGCAGGTGAGGCTACTGTGTGCAAAGTTCTGTTCTTACAGGCCTGAAGAAAGACCTTTACTGGGGAGGAGTCTGGTAGTGCTCCCAGAGCACGGTCCTCTGTGGGTGTCTAGGGGGAGAGGCACAGCGTCGGGGACTGAGGAACAGGCGTGTGCATGAGTGTTGTGTGAGGCCAATAGGGGTTAGAGCTGAGTGCCAGCAGGCAAGCCTGTCTGTGAGAAGGCAGCCTCTGAGCCTCTCTGAGTCCAGGTCCTTCTTCAGGTTTTTCTGCCTGCTCCTGGGCCCTGCCATGCCGGGAAAGGGCTATCATGAGATAGGCCGCGCAGCAGCTGTCCTCCTCAGTGACCTGGTGAGCTGAGCAGGTGTGCATGTGTGTACACTCTTGCTGTGTGACTAAGTGCAATGAGGTAATGTGGCTTTGTATCTGTAGCACAGGGATTGAGGTTTCCATGGTTACCAATGTAGCCCCATTACTGACCTAGTGCTGGCATACAGTAGGCACTCAATAGTTATTGAATGAATATATGCATGCATAGACAGACGCATGAGTGACCTAGCTACCTATGTAATTTGTGTGTCTACTTTTGAGAAATACACAGGTGAAAATGCATGTAAGAGTTCAAGTCTGCCTTTAATGCCCATTCTGTGCTTTTAAATGTAGCAGTTCCAGTGGTCAGTTCGTCGGGCTAGCAACCTTCATGACCTTCTGGCAGCCCTGGATGCCTTCCTAGAGGAGGTCACAGTGCTCCCCCCAGGGCGGTGGGACCCAACAGCCCGGATTCTCCCGCCCAAATGCCTGCCCTCTCAACTCAAAAGGTACCTGGAGGCGCTCATTCCCTAAAGATCCTTCCCCACAGGCGGTGAATCTAGAGCTGCCGTAGCCGAGGGACTGAGTTCTATCTTTGGCTGGAGTCAGGCAGATTTAGTTCTGCCCTACCGCTCTCTCGCCTATGAGGCATGAATAATCTTCCCGGGCCCAGCCTGGCTTTCACCGGTTCAGTACGGCTTTTTTCCTGCAGCTGTTCCACGCTCTCCGCCGCCGGACGCGGCCGCCGCCAGGGGGCAGGGCGCCACCAGCTTTGGGCCACGTGACTGGTGTTCCCCTTCTCTTCAGGTCGCCCTCGCAAAAGCGGGACGTCCAGGGCTTTTCCATTCCGCATACTGGCCGGGCAGAGGACCGACATGGACGTGGGCCGCACGTACCCTGTGCGGAGTTGCAACGGACCGGCCGGTGAGGCGAGCTGTGCTGGAGAAAGGGTTGGGGGACCTGCCGGGGAAGGGGGAGTCTTGGGGACCAAAGCCTGGTCCTAGGAAAGTAGTGGGGCGCGGGCGTGGAGCGTGTGAACCTGGATTACTGATGACACGTGGGCGGGAGGCTGTTTGGGGGTCTTGTCCAGGACGTGAGCCGGAAAGCTTCGTGGTACAGCACCGATTTCTTGGATGCCCTGCACCCTCAGTGTTTCTCAGCTGTGCTCTACATTTACCTGGCCACCGTCACTAATGCCATTACTTTCGGGGGTCTGCTGGGAGATGCCACTGATGGTGCCCAGGTGAGTGGGGGCTGTGCAAGGGAGACTGGCACAAGCTTTGGTGTCACACCTGCAGAGCTAGGACCTGGGTGGGGAGAATCCTGGGAGCTTGGGTTCTGAACTGAAGATGCCAAGCTCCTGTTGATTTTCAGGGAGTGCTGGAAAGTTTCCTAGGAACTGCAGTGGCCGGAGCTGCCTTCTGCCTGCTGGCAGGCCAGCCCCTCACCATCCTCAGCAGCACTGGGCCAGTGCTGGTCTTTGAGCGCCTGCTTTTCTCTTTCAGCAGGTAGGAAACCTCCCTGGCCTGCCCAGCCCCCTCCTCAGCCACATCCACACCCTGGCCCTGATTGGGTCAACAGGAGAGAGTGGGAACTCTCAGACTTGGGGGTACCTTACCTGAGTTAGGTGGGGAGAAGACATCCCTGGCTGGCTCTCTCCCTCACAGAGATCACAGCCTGGACTACCTGCCCTTCCGCCTGTGGGTGGGCATCTGGGTGACCGTCTTTTGCCTGGTGCTGGTGGCCACAGAGGCCAGTGTACTGGTGCGCTACTTCACCCGATTCACTGAGGAAGGTTTCTGTGCCCTCATCAGCCTCATCTTCATCTACGATGCCCTGGGCAAAATGGTGCATTTGACCCATACCTATCCCATCCAAAGGCCTGGGTCCCCTGGCTATGGCTGCTTCTGTCAGTACCCGGGCCCACAAGGTGGGTGAGGGAAACAGGGACCTTGGCTGGCTGAGGAGGATTGTGGGAGGGGTTTCCCCTGGTTAAGTTTAGTAAAGTGAAAACATTTATCTAACAGCATGCTTTCCTACTCTGGTTTTGAATCAACTGAAAACCACACAACAGAAGACCCAATATTGTCTTTATTGCTGACAACACTAATTGAAGAACATAGATAATATGTATAGCTGAATAGGCTTCCAAACAGTGAAGCCAAAGTTAGACTTATCAGCCATGGCAGCTCTGAACTGTCTTGCCTTAGAGGAGCAGGGTACCAAACATGTACCAAATGGGCAGCTTCCTCCTGAAAGGAGAGAGAGAAAGGGCAAGGACCACACATACCCAATCTCATTCCCTAAACTAACCGATCAAATAAATCGAGGATGAGAGTGACTGTCCAGAAGAGAGGCTTGGAATATTATTCTTGCATCTATTCCTTCACATAGAAGGTATCACCACAGCAGGGAAAGAATTGTTCTAACCTATACCAGACTTTGTGTGAGGCATGAATAAGACCAGTTTTTTCCCTGGGAGAAACACAGATTTGTAAGCAGCTCAGGCATCCACTCAGCCTTGGCTGAGCAACTGCTGTGTCTGTGTTTGGCACTAGGCACATAGATGAGTAGAGAATTTGAGGGGTTAGGTGTGCAAGGTGGTGTGTGGAAGAGTACAGATACGGTTGCAGTGGCATGAGCAGGCAGAAGAGTCAGACTAAGAACTCTGGTTAGGGGCTGGAGATTTAGCTCAGCGGCATGAGTGCCTGCCTTGCAAGCAGGCGCTGGTACCGATAAAAAGGAAAAAGGCAAAAAAAAAAAAAAAAAAAGAACTCTCTGGTTCAGCTATACTCATCAGATTAGAATCCTGTGGGAGCCAGGTATGGTGGTGCATGCCTGTAGTCCCAGCACTTGGAGGACTGAGGCAAGAGGATTGTGAGTTTTAAGCTAGCCTGGGCTACATAGTAAGTTCAAGGCCAGCCTAAACTGTATACCAAGATACTGTCTTAAAAAAACAAAAAAGAAAAGAAGAAGAAGTTACAGAATTTTGTGTTGCTGGAGAAGATTTTTAGGTAAGGGGGAAATGTACTTGACTTAATCTTTGTTTCTCAGGAAATGAATCTCAATGGGCAACAGCACAGCCAAAGAGCAGAGATGACGTCTTAAGCATGGTGAGGGCTTACTGCTAAGAGGGGCTGGAAAAGGAAGAATGACAACTAGATGAGTTAGTTTTTTTCCTATTTCTTCCCACCCCATTGGCTAGGGAAGTACACTCATAAGGTCACTGAGCTTAGCTACTTCCTGTGGTCAAAGAGCCTGGGTCCGTGATGTCTCTGTGAGTCCCTCTTCCCTTGCTTACTCTCCTGGACCTACGCATGTGCTGCCACGATCCCATCCTGGACCATCCCTTTACACAGGACCTAGGCCTGGTCAATGCATCTTTGCTTCCGCCATTTGAGTGCACCCGACAAGGAGGCCAGCCTCGTGGCCCTGGCTGTCACACAGTCCCAGACATTGCCTTCTTCTCCCTTCTGCTCTTCCTTACCTCCTTCTTCTTTGCTACCGCCTTCAAGCATGTAAAGACAAGTCACTTCTTCCCCTCTGTGGTGAGTGTCTCCTTTCCTTCTGTGGGAGAGGCCTATTCTTGGACTTGGGCTCAGTGTGAAAATGGGAAAGGGTGTGGAAGGAAGGGGATGGCAGGCTGAAATCTGACTGAGTTCCACATGTGGCCAGGTACGCAAGGTGCTCAGTGACTTCTCCTCAGTCCTGGCCATTCTGTTGGGCTGTGGCCTTGATACATTCCTGGGCCTAGCCACGCCGAAGCTCCTGGTGCCTACAGAGTTCAAGGTGAGAGCTGGTGGGATGAGGAGGGGAAGGCCAACAGACCGTGGTTCAGGCAGATACACAAATCCCATACATCTCTTCCTCTAAGCTGCTTTTCTCATTCTTAAAATGGCAATAGTAGGAATAATGGTCTCACAGTATTACATGAGGTACTGCGGCAGAGACATATGAAGATGTGACCAAAGTATCTGGTGAATGTTTTTTAATTTAAAAAAATTATCACAGTAAAAAACACATTGTTATTAATCTCCCTCAAAATACTCCCCCTTACCTGAACAAACTTGTCCCATTGTTCTTGCTACTTTCTGAAGCAGTTCTGGAGTCCTTTTTCCTAAGTGTGTTTATGAGGTATGATCTAAACTATGATGAATCCTGCTGCTGAGTGCCATGCAACAGAAGCCAGCCACATAAAAACATTGCAGTGCATACTCATCTATCTTATTCACTGGATCTGGCACTGTGAAACTTCTGGCTATTCCCCAAGTTCAAAATGACACTGAAATGTGAAAGTTTTGAATTGATTCAGGATATCAAGCCAGCCATGACAGTGTAACTATGTAAAGATATTCGGGGGCTGGGGATTTAGCTCAGTGGCATAAGCACCTGCCTTGCAAGCAGGCAGTCGTGAGTTCGATCCCCGGTATCAATAAAAAGAAAAAAGAAAAAAAAAAGATACTCATAAAAGAGGACCTCCAAAACTGTTTCACAAGGGGATAGGAATAGCAGGGCTGGCGTGGTAGTGCACTCTGAGAAGCTGAGGGAAGAGAACTGTGAGTTCAACCCAGCTTGAGCAATTTAGCAAGACCCTGTCTCAAAACTGGAAGAGGTAGGAGGGGACTTGGGGGGAGGAGTGCTGGGGATGTAGCCCAGTGTGGTACAATACAGAGGGTCTGGTTTCAGTCCCCAGTACCAGGGAGGGAAAAAGGAAAGAGATAAAAGGAAAGTGGCAAGAATGATAGGATGAAAAACTAAAAGGAGGAGGTAGGGATACAGCTCAGCAACACAGCACCAGCCTGGCAAGCGTGCGGTTGTGAGTTCAATACCCAGTACCAAAAAGAAAAAGAAAAAAAGGACAGGATGAATGTTTGATGCAAGAGAGTGTATTTTGATTGAGATTAATGGCACTGTGCCTTTCGTTGTAATCAATTTTAAACAGTTTTTAAACACTCACTGCATTTTTTGATAAATGGAAAAATACTATACACAGTATATTATTAGAGGGTAGGAATTAGGAGGACGGGTTCTGGTCAGCCAGCCTTGGGCTTGAGTTCCAGTTCTGTCACTTCTTAGCTGTGTGTTACTGCACATCAAGTTACTGCACATTTCTGAGCCTCAATTTCTTAATCTATAAAATGGAAATAATAAATAACAGCCCCTACCCCACAGGTTGTTTTGAGGTTTACAGAAGATCATAGTGTAAAGCACTTATCACTATGCCTGGCACCTACCAAGTCCTCAGTAAGCCTTGTCATGGGCTCTCACCACCCTTAGCATGGCCCTGCTCACTCCACTACTCTCCCCCCTCCACTTTGTACCCTTCATTGCCTGCTCTGATCCAGTAAAGCTGGAGATCCCTCTCCAGAGCATGATGTTGAGAACAAGGCTTTGTATCAATTTCTGGACTTTACCTGCATAATTTGGAGAGCTTCCCCAAGCTTCTCCCAAGACAGGAGAGCATGGAACTCCATTTGGAGTAGCCTCAGGAACTAGAGCCCCAAGCAGCAACATGGGCCCCCTCCCACACACAGACGCTTGTAATCAAGCAGACTCAGACACGCCCAAGTCCTGCTCCTCCCCTGCCCCAGATCAAGGCAGGTCTAAGCCTGAATTGCTCCACCCTGGATGCGGGGATGATGCCTAGGGAGGAAGGCTCGATGTACTGTAGCAAGAAGGTGTGGGCATCCACAATTCTTTTAAGGAGGGAGGGACCCTGGAAACCAGTCTTAGAGTCTTTGTATGGACTAGGGGCCAAGCTGCTTCCCCCCCCTCTGTCCTGTTAAGGTGCACGGATGTTCTGAACCAGCTGTATACACACACTGCCTAGCATCCTGTGTCTTGGGGAGCGAGTCAGGTTGTGGTAGAATACCAAGGCCAGGATGTGCAGGTGAGGTGCTCTTGGGTGACCCTCTCTAATCTGTTCATCAGCCCACACTCCCTGGGCGTGGCTGGCTGGTATCACCTTTTGGAGCCAACCCCTGGTGGCTGAGTGTAGCAGCTGCCCTGCCCGCCCTGCTGCTGTGTATCCTCATCTTCATGGACCAGCAGATCACAGCAGTCATCCTCAACCGTGCAGAATATAAACTGCAGGTAAGACCTGGGTAAGGCCAGCTTAGACCAAGGACAAAAGCTCCAGGTAGTGTCTGGGGTTTTTCCCCGCCCCAAGAGAACAGGGGGCTGAGGGCTAGGCTAACGTCATCCTTTTCCACTACCCTCTTCCGTGTACTATTGCCCTTGCAGAAAGGAGCTGGCTTCCACTTGGACCTTTTCTGTGTGGCTGTGCTGATTCTGCTCACATCAACCCTTGGGCTGCCCTGGTATGTTTCAGCCACTGTCATCTCCCTGGCTCATATGGACAGTCTTCGAAGAGAGAGCAGAGCCTGTGCCCCTGGGGAGGCCCCCAGCTTCCTGGGCATCAGGTGAGGACACTATTCAGGAGACTGGAGTGGGAGGTGGGCAATAACATGGGATATGGGACGCATGGCAGAGTAACTCAAGCAGCTTAAATTTTAAGTCTGTGCCCCATGAGCACTGCAGTGGGGTAAGCAGGTGGGTCCTGGGCTCTGAGGTGGGTGAGTTAGATCTCTCCTCTTTAAGCCATGGGAACTAGGAGGGGCCTCAAGAGAAGCATCATCTATGCAGGTGTGGAGGCAGCCAGGGTGAGGTGCCACTAATTCCAACTTAATGCAGAAGCACATGGTTGACGTTACAAAGGAATCCAGTTCTGGAACTGTTGGAACACAGTTCTACTATCTAACGCATATGAAATCAAGCCTGTAGTTGTGATATATAAATCTTTATAATAGTATAAAATTACAAAATTTCCATCAAAATAAAAACAAGGAGTCACTATGGAACTGGACTAATGGAAAGGCCTGGGATCCTCATGTTGAACTGCTCTGTCCCTGCTGTCCACTAGTTTTTCTTTATAAGAAGCTAAGCCTTCTCCTTGCCAGGTAACCCACTGAGGATCCTTCTACTGCCTCCTGGCTGTCAGTGACTTCAACTTGAGCTCCCAGGACTCTTCTGGATGCACTTCATTCTTCCTTCTTCCCATAGGGAACAGAGGCTGACAGGCCTGGTGGTGTTCATTCTTACAGGGATCTCCATCTTCCTGGCACCTGTACTCAAGGTACCTGTGTTAGACTAGTACTTGGGTCAGTACAGTAATAATAAATACAGCAAAATCAGGCACTGGTTGAATGCTTATAGGGTGACAGGCATTGTTTTTTCTCTATAGTGTGGATCATGTAACCCTAACATTAATCATGAGAGGTATACTGTACTTTAAAAATGGGAAACGTGGAGTAAAGTACTGCAAGAACTCACTAAGACCAAGCACCCCCAACAAAAAAAGAAACCAAGAAACTGGGTATGGTGGTAGGCACCTGAATCCTAGCATTTGGGAGGCTGAGGCAGGAGGATCACAGCAAGTTTGAGGTCAGCCTGTCTCCAAAGAAACCAAAAAAAAAAAAAAAATCCAAATGAGTTGGTTTCTCAGATCTATGTGAGAACCCAAACTCTTATCCCGTAGGTTTCTGCCCAGTGGAGCAAGCTGTGAGCACGCTACCATCCTGAGAGTCCAACTCTCATGCTGAGACTAAGTGTGATTATCATAGCCTAGAAAAGCTTTGAAGCAAAAATCCTTTCTTTTCTCTCAGTAAAGGTTTGGAGAAATCGGTGTGCTGCAATTTGCTGGGCCACTGGCAGAAGTGGGAGCAAGGGATTTTGAAAAGTATTATGAAACCAAGCCCTTACCAACAACACACACACAAAAACAAAAACTAAGTAACAAGGAATAGTAAAAAGGTCCTACAAGCCAAGACAGCAAAGCACTCAAGGAGGGTGTGGAGAATGTCAGAGAGGAGTCCCTGGCAGAGTGACAAGAGACAAGAGGTTACAGGAGGGAAAGGTCATGCGGGCTGGGCGAGAGTGATGAGACACAAAAAGCCTGATGGACTGGATCAGCCACTTACTAATTAGGTGACTCTTATAAACCTTATGCCAAGCCCCATTCCAGGCACTGGGAACATAGTTATGATCAAAGGAGGTCATGTCACTGTCCTTGTAGTCTGGTGAGAGAAGACAGATTTTACAAAATTAAAACAAGAAAATAGGGTAACTTCAGATAATGATAACTTCTTTCAAAAACAAAAGAGGATAAGGTGCTTGAGAGTTCCAGGGCTATTTCAAATTGGTAAGTCTTTCTGGAGTGTCATGAGAAGAGGCACAAAGTCTAGACAAAGGAACATTTTGGTAGAAGGAAGAGTTAAGCAAAAGACTGCAAGGCACGAGGCACATTGGTGCATGCCTACGATCCCAGCATTGAAGGAGGCTGAGTAGTAGAGCTGAGTCAGCTTGCTAAGGCAATGTAGCAAGAGTTTGTCTCAGAAAATAAAAACGCTGGGTGTGGTGGCCCAGGAATCCCAGCACTTGGGAGGCTGAGGCAGGAGGATCACTGGGAGTTTTGAGGCCAGCCGGGGCTACATAGTTGGTTGAAGGCCAGCCCTGGACTACATAATGACATCCTGTCTTACCCCCCCCCCATAAAAATAAAAAGGAGTAAGGGATGTAACTCATTGGTAGCTGACCTTTGGGTTGGATCTCCAATACTGGAAAAAGTCCCATCTGATTGATGTGAACATTCAGTGAGGGAGAGGAAAGACCTGGGCTGGCTTGGTGGCTGGGGTTAGAACCTGAGGTGGGCTGTTTGGGTGGCTGGAAGAGGTAACCTCCTTTGCTCTCTGCTTCTTTCTACCAGATCATCCCAATGCCTGTGCTCTATGGAATCTTTCTTTACATGGGGGTTACAGCACTTAGCAGCATCCAGGTGAGTCCATTAAACTTACACAACACTTCTGCCCACTTCTGCCTACACTTGCCAATCCCTCACCTATTTCATCTTCCTGCCTCTGCTGGACACAGAGACTGCTGCCATGCTCTGGATGGGGGAAGACCAAGGGAGGGTTCTGGCCCTTTTGCTGGTGGGCTGGGATAGCAAACAGTGACACCCTCAAGACCCTGGCTCCCTTTCCCTCTCGTTTCCCCAGTTTGTGAAAAGAGTGCAGCTACTGTTGATGCCAGCAAAACACCAGCCAGACCTGCTGCTGTTGCGGCATGTGCCTCTGAAGCGAGTACACCTCTTCACTGCCATCCAGCTGGTCTGCCTAGGTCTGCTTTGGATAATCAAGTCTACTCCTGCAGCCATCATCTTCCCCATTATGGTGACTGGGGGCAAGGCTGGGCAGTTCTAGGGGGTTTCACAAGACTGAGCTTGGGAGGGTTACGGAGATCTCCATGAGAGGAAGACTCTCCCATCTCAATTATCCTGGCTCTGCCTGGTTGGAAATATTAAGACACTCCACCTCCCAAAAAAGATGGGGATACCTTCAGATGGATTAGTCCTGGCAGGCCGCATCAACTTCTTTTCTGACTTCTTTGGGCCATGTATAAAACCAGAAGAAAACTTAGGAGGTCCTAGGAAAGGGAATGCTGATATTTTTGTTACTCAGGGAACATACATAGGAGGGGACTGCAGTTGTGCAAGTCTCTGGACCATTACTAGTCTCTCAGGGCCGCAATGTCTTTCCCTGTGAGAAAGAAATATTTACTGTATCTACCTTACAGGAACGTTCACCTTCTGTGAAGTGATACTCAATGCTTAGCCCACAGGAAGTGTTAAACAGAGATCAGAATTGTTAACATGCCTGCAGAAAACCTTGGACTTGTTTCTATTCCTGCAGTTGCTGGGCCTGGTGGGTGTCCGAAAGGCACTAGAGTGGGTCTTCTCACCACAGGAACTCCTCTGGCTGGATGAGCTCATGCCAGAGGATGAAAGGAGTATCCCTGAGAAGGGACTGGAGCCAGAGCACTCATTTGGTGAAGATGAAAGCGAAGATGTGAGCGCCAGGCTGGGTCCTCCCAGGGGAACAGGCAGGGGTTGGGAGAGTGCTCTTGACCAGAAGTTGTCTTTAAAGTTTAATATCTCCCCTAAGCCTGACGATCTGACCAACGCAGATTGTTCTTCATAGGGTCGAGAAATCTAGGGATCATGCTACTGTGAGAGTGGACAGAACTGGGCTAGGGGCTCTGTTTCTCGACCCTGATCTTTGTTTTGCCTTGTGGTGGATTTCTGTCATGTCTTTGGGTCCCATGCTCATCCTTTTGTCTCTCTGTCTCTGTCCCTCTCTCTATACCCTACCCACTTCTCTCTTTCACAGTCAGAGCTAATGTATCAACCAAAAGTTCCAGAAATCAACATCTCTGTGAATTAGCTGGAGCAAGAGCCTGGGAATAGAGACCCCATGAAACAGACCATGAGGTGAGATTAGGAGGCAAGTAAGTACTTCTGGTGTTGAGGATGAGGAAGTGTGGACTCAGACCTTGGAAAACTCCTGCATACTGACCAGCTGTTTCCTCTTCATACTGCAGTCCCTCATGAACCCTAGAGCTGGGAAGGAAGCAGAAAGGTCTACTCAGAGGGAAGAATGAAAGAGGCAGGGTACCTAGGCTTACTTCCTGCCATTCTAAGGTCTTGTCAGTAGAGGGAGCACCAGCTCACACTAAATAGGATGGTGAGCCAGAGGGAATAGAGGAGTGTGGGAAGGAAGAGAGGGACAAAGGAAAGCACGAGGGAAGAGGGAGGGGATAAAGCTCTGCTCTTCTCCCTTGAGTTCAATCCCCGGTACCCCACCCCAAATTTATATATATATTATAGATTTTTTAGGTACTATAGATGCAGTAGTTAGTACTTAAATCCCAGTGGGAGAGTGAGACAGAGGTTTAGGCAACTTTAGTGGGATAGTGCTGGATAAGGGAAGCATGGGGGAGCAGAGAAACCTCTAACCCGTTCTCAGAGGGTAGTAAAGGTGGGATATAAAGTTAAGAAAAGTGTAAAAGGAAGAGGGGCCCATAATTTAGACAATGAATAGCACCTAGCCAAGACAAGATGGAGATATATATGTTCTATGCAGAAGCTACAGCATGTCAAAGAGCCTGGATAAGTGGAACCCTCTCTTTTTGCCCCAGAACACTCTCCTCTTCATGCCTTTACAAGCTGAAGAATACAAGAGTCTCTACTACTTGCAATGGAAAGTTAGGACTAGAGAGCGAAAGAGTAATTCAATGGTTGGCCTGGAGAAAGATTCCTTAGGCTTTCCTTATCACATAGTATCCCCTTTGCTCAGTTCTTTGCTTTATTTTGTCCCTGTGCACTTGCTCTGGCCTCATGGTGTCTTCTCTCAGTTCACAGGTATTTACTCAGAAAGTCCGGACATTGCTTGCTCTTGACTTGGTTGCCAGATACTGTTGGCTGGGGACCTGGAACAATGGAACAGGACTGAAGAACAGCTGGCAAAGAAAGACACCAGTTACCTCCTGAGCTGGGAGGGGAAGTGGCAAGGAACAACGAGGTTTGCTTAGGAAAGACTAGTGAGCCAGAGGGACTGCCAGTTCTTACTCTCTGTCCATTAAAGGGACTGTTATAGCTTGTGTCTAGGTGTCCCCCCAAAGCCACATGCAGTCATGGGTAGGGGTTTTTCAGAAGTGGGTGGATCTGGAGTATATGGTTGATTCATTGTGCAATGCTGAGATTCAGATTCTGTGCTTACAGACTCTTAATCAGTCCACTGATTGTTTTGGTACTGCTCTAGTTCCAGGAGCCTAGACAGAATACAAAAGGGACAGAAAAAACCTGCTAGAATTTCTTATTGCTCTGCTACCTTCTGTCCACCATGAACTGTTTTTCTTCTATGATGCCCCTCTGCCATGTACCACACTACTTTGGATCTAGCTGATTATGGACTGAAACCTCTACAGGCTGAGCCAAATAAACCTTTTCCCCCTTTAACTTTGGACTTTGGTTATTTTGTCTCAGCAATGAGAAGAGTAACTAAGACAGGAACCTAGAAGCCCTTCCCATTTTGAACGTGCTGTCCCCATAAATTCCATTTTATAGGATCTTGGGGGTGGGTCATCTTTACTATTTACAAAAGGAAGAAGAAGATCCTCTTTCCAAAATAAGTACTCTTTTATCTGGGATAGGTTTTTACACATATGAAAATAATTTTTTAAAGTTCATTTTGTTGGTGACAAAGGTAAATAAGGCTACTGGAAAATATTGAAACATTACAGAAATATATATGTATATGTATTTTTTTGTGTGTGTGGTACTGAGGGAATGAAACCAGGGGTGCTCTACCACCGAGTGTTTTTATTTTTACCAGAGGGCTAATCCCAGGGCCTTGACGCTGAGTTATATCCCCAGCCCATTTATTATTTTTTATTTTGAGGCAGGGTCTCCCTACGTTGCCCAGGTTGAGCTCAAACTTGCAGTACTTGTGTCTAAGTGTCCCAAATAACTGAGATCTCAGGAATGTACCATGTTTAACTCAGACATGTATTATTTTAAAGTGAAAATCATCCTAGAAATAACCATTGTCCACATGTTAGTGTATGTTGTTCAGATTCTTTCATTGGTCACATTAATATTTTTATTAAAATGGAATCACAGAGTTCTGCAACATGTTTTTCACTTAATATGCATTGGATATTTTCTCCATGTCAGCACACATTTATCCATCTCACTGATCTTATAAATTCAAAAATATCATATAGCCAGGCATGGTGGCACACTCCTATAATCCTAGGACTCAGGAGGCTGAGGCAGGAGCATCATTTGCAAGTTTGAAACCACCTTGGGCTACAAAGGGAGCCCAAGGTCTGCCTGAACTGCATAGCGAGACCTTGTCTCAAAAAGACAAAAAAGAAAAAAGATTTTATATATATATATATACTGCAAGTGCAAGAATTTCTTTTTTTCTTTTTTTTTTTTGTCTTTTTTGAGATGGGTCTCGCTATACAGTTCAGGCTGGTCCTGAGCTCACTTTGTAGCCCAAGCTGGTCTCGAACTCACAACAATCCTCCCACCTCAGCCTCCCAAGTGCTGGAATTACACGTGTGAACTACCATGCCCGGCTAAGTGCAACAATTTCTACAGAATATATACTGAGGAGTGGAAATCAAGAAAAAACAATAAAAGGAAAATTTATATATCCAATACTTGGGTTAATAAACAGGATGTCTGGTACCTATGTCCTTCTCATATTACATCCCCTTTCTAGATAAACACTATCCTAAATTTTATGGTAATTACTTAAGAATACTTTTAACTCTTCTATATGGATGATGATGATGATGATGTTACTGGGAACTGAACCCAGGGCCTTCCCATGGAGCTACAAACACAGGACCCTTTGTTTGTTTATTTATTCATTTAGAGACAGTGTCTTGCTGTATAGTTCAGGCTACGCTTGAACTTACTATATAGCCCAGGATGGTCTTGAACTCTTGGTGATTCTTCTGTCTCAGCTTCCCAAGTGCTGGGATTATAGGATGTATCACCATGCCTTAAAAAAAATTTTTTTTTTTAATTTTTGAGACAGGGACTTTGCCAAGTTGCCAAGATGCCCAGGCTGGACTCAAATTTGGAATCTTTCTGCCTCAGCATCCTAGAGTATTGAAATTATAGATTTGCAACACCATGACTAGCTATTTTATATATTTTTGAATGTCATAAATGGAATCATAGTATAGGAATTCCTTGGTGACTGCTTATTTTACTCAACACTGATTTGAGAATCGATCATGCTGATGAATATATTTATCTAGGAATCTATTTTTTCTCTTTTTTTTCTTTGTGTGGTGCTGAGGGTATAACTCAGAGCCTTGTGATGTACTCTACTAATAAGCTAAATCCCCAGCTCTGCAATTTATTCATTTTATATATGTTTTTATCCATTGACAAAGTTAGTATAATAACCCCTATCTGTTTACTCTCTAGTATATTTGGCAGCTGTGTTTTCTGTATCACTTTTAATATTTTTATGCATTTTTTTTGGTACCAGGGATCAAACTTAGGACCCATGCTTGCAAAGCAGGCACTTATGCTGCTGAACTAAATCCCCAGCCCTGCATTCTTTTTTTAAAAAAGAAAATAATTTCAAAACAATAGGAGAGTAACAATAATTAATACACTGCATATTGTTATCTTCAGAGTAGTTACTCAGAGTACAAGATATAGGCATGAAATGTCCAAACAGTATTAGCACAAATCTTTCTTTTCAGTGAACTAAGAAAAACTAGCAGTATAATTGTTTTAATGTCTTTTCTTTTAAACAGTTTCTTCCAAATCTGCAATATCTATTGTACATTTTGGGTCCTACTTACTCATTCAGCTTCTCACACTAGTGAAACTGTACAATATTTACAGGTGGGTCTGATTTACTTCACTTATGAGTATGGTCTCCAGTTGTATCCATTTACCTAGAAAAGTCTGAAATGTTCCATTATATTAAAAAAACACATCTTTTTTATCCATTCCTTGGTTGACAGGCATTTGAGTTTGCATTCTTTCTTTTTCTTCTTCTTCTCAGTTTCTCTTGGCACAGTCTATTTTATTAGTTTTCAAAAACTGCACTTTTTTTTTACTGAACACAATACTTTCTACTTCATTATTTTCTGCTCTTTGTTATTTTCTTTAGGTTTATTCTGTTGCTTTTCTAACTTCTTAATTCCTTATCTTGAATCTTTTTTTTTTTTTAATGGTTTTTTGAGACAGGGTGTTGCTGTGTAGTTCAGGCTGGCTTTGAACTTGTACTGATCCTCCTATGTCAGCCTCCCAAGTGCTGAGATTACAGGTATATTTTCAGTCTTAGTTATTTCCTAGTGTGAACACTCCTGTTACAAATTTCCTCCTAAGAACTACTTTAATTGTACCTCATAGGTTTTGATATACAACATTCTCATAATTTTAAGTATTTTCTAATTTCTATCACGATTTCTTTTTTGACCAACACATTATTGAAAATGCATTTAAAATTTTTCAAGCATACATTTTGTCCCCCTTAATTATTTTTTAAGTAACTTTCTAATTTAATTGCATTTAGACATTTGTGAGGCTAACTTTATGATTGGGCATTTGATCAATTTTTTGGAAATGTTCCATGTGTATTTGTGTACAGTTTATTTTCCAATTGTTAGGAACAATTTTGTTACTTTTATTAAGCTAGACTACTAATTGTGCTATTCAAAATGTTTTATGTCGTTCATGACTTTTGATGGTCTATGTGAACTGTCAAATATTGGAAGAGTTTGTTAATATACTTCCTATGATGAAGGATTGTCAATATATCCTTGAAGATTCATCAATTTTTGCTTTTATATATTTTATAAAAGGTTTTTACATTTTTAAATTTTTATGTACAAGCCGGGTGTGGTGGCTCACGCCTATAATCCCAGCACTCAGGAGGCTGAGGCAGGAGGATCGTTGCAAGTTCGAGACCAACCTGGGCTACAAAGTGAGCTCAAGGCCAGCCTGAACTGCATAGTGAGACCCCGTCTCAAAAAAGACAAAAAAATTTTTATGTACAAAGACCTAGCATGATCTTTTCCACTGGGTGGATGTCTATGATGTTCCCTTGGAGGAAGATAACTTACTAGAACTTACTGAAGCTTATATCCTTCAAGTACTAAAGAAAAACTCCTGGTTATATTTCTGAATCAGACAGTGTAGGTTTGAGCAGTTGCAGCAAGAGCATGAACCCTGACAGAATTTTCTTGAGTGTTCCAGTAGAGCTGCTGAGTGACCCATTCTGCTTTCAGAGGTCCAATGAGACAACAGGTAGCTGTTTTATTTTGTTATTCTAAGGAACAGTCTTGTTACTATAATTCAAGGTGGTCTTGAACTGCCTGGGTAGCCCAGGATGAATCCTCAAGGAAAAGTCCATTCATTTCAATCACTAGGCATTTCCTTTTCAGTTTATAATTGATGGACTTTGGTTCTCTAACTTTTGTGGGTTTTAAAATCAAAAGTTCCATCGTATGAATTCCTATCCCTTGTCTGGCATTTCATGATTCCCAGTTCTTTAGATTTTTGTCTTTGCCAATGGACCTGAATGTGTAATTGTTAATATATGTTATTGTCAGAGATATCTTGGTCCCTTTTTTCCTCAGCACAATCCAGAGCAGAGATTGGAGGAGTCAGGAATGTGTCTGAGTCTACTTCTCAAATGTAGGTAGGCATTAGGAATTGAGGCTAACCTTTGAATGAAAGGAAATGTACTGGGAAAAATGGAAGAAAAAGGTAAGTACAAGGAATGCAATCCTGGGTTGAGGGCCAGTTCACTGCCTTTTACGTCACTAGTACTGGGTATTTATTTATTTATGGGAGACAAGGTCTTTCAGATTGGCTTTGAACTCACCATGTAGCCCAGGCTGGCCTCAAACTCAGTGATCCTCCTTGCCTCTGCTTCCTGAGTGCTGAGATTGCAGGCAAGCGCCACTACACCTGGTTCATCCAGGCCAGTTCTGAACTATGTAGCCTAGGCTGGCCTCAACTATAGTGCTGAATTCTATTTAAGGGCTTCTCAGAGACTAACAGGTCATTCATGCATCCATTCAACAAACATGTATCATTATAGAAGGGATGAGAAAAAAAGAGAAGAGAAGGCAAAAATGGAAACAAAGTTTTTTGTAAATAAGGAAGGGAAGAGGAGAGGAGGAGAGAAGAATGGGGGAAAAAGCAAGATATATCATGTACAGGTACAAATTCCCTATGATGAATGTTATCATTATGTATATTTAAAGTATGCCAATAAAATGAAAAATGCAAAAAAAACCACCCCAAAATAAACAACAAAAGATACTTATTATATACTAGGCAATGTTCTATATGTAGGATTAAAGTGGCAAGATAAGATCCCTGCTTTCCTGGAGTTTCTGTTCTAGTAGGGGGAGAGAGAAAATAAGTATAACTATATGCATACACAATAGTATTGGGCAGTTATAAGAGCAATAATACCAAGTTAATGTGATAGCCAGAAAAGATTTAGTGGTAGGTAGCTCCTTTAGTGTGGGAGTTAGGGCTGGGGATTTAGCTCTGCGGCATAAGCACCTGCCTGGCAAGTGCAAGGTGGTGAGTTTGATCCCTGGTACTCAAAAAAAAATTTCAAGAATAGACTTGAATGACACACAAAAATGGAATCAGCCTTGGTAATAGGAAACAGGGAATTGAAGGCAAGCGTTCTTGGCAAAAGGAATATGATTTCAAAAGCCGCTAGGCAGTAAGAAATATTTGAGAAATTGAAAGTAACTAGAGTGAAGTGAGGGGGAGAATAGTCCAAGATGAGGTTAGGGTGAGATTAAGGTTGTAGACTACCATAATGAATACCTTAGAAAATACAGTGTGAGTGAGGCCATGTTACCTGGGATAAGAATAGTAAGGCCCAATCCAGAGTAGCCAAAACGATCTTGAAAATGAAGAACCCAATTGGAGGATTTGTATTTTCTAATTTCAAACTTACTACGAAAGTATAGTATCAAGACAATGTGTTACATTAGCACAAGGATAGACAGAGTCATAGAGTGGAACTGACACTCCAGAAACAAACCCTCACACTTAATGGTCAATTAATTTTTCAACAAGATTGCCTAGATAATCCAATGGTACAAGGATAATCTTCAACACATAGTGCTGGGAAAACTGAGTATCAGCATCAAAGGACGACACTGAACACTTCACACTATGTGCAAAAGGTAACTCATAGATCAGTGACAAATGTAACAACACCATTTCTTAAAAGAAAACATGTAAGTCTTAAGACCTTGGATTTGGTAATGTTTTGTTAGATATGATAAGAAAAGTACAAGCAATAAAGTAAAATTAATCGGATGCTATCAAAATTAAAATTTTTTGCTCCAATCACATTGAAATGAAAAAACAACCTGTAGAAGGGGGAAAAATATTTGCAAACATAATGTTTGATAAGGCATTTGTTCCTAAAATATATAAAGAACTCTTACAACTATAATAAAAGGACAATCAAAATACAACTGGAGGGGCTGGGGGTTTAACTCAGCGGCATAAGTGCCTGCCTTGCAAGCAGGCAGTTGTAAGTTCGATCCCTGGTACCGATAAAAAAGAAAAAGACAAAAAAAAAAAAAAATACAACTGGCAAGGGTTGGGTGCAGTAATGTATTCTTATAATTTCAGTTACTTGGGAGGCTGTGGCAGGAGGATGGCAATTTCAAGCCCAGTCTTGTCAGTTTAATTAGGCTAGCTCAAAATAAAATATAAAAATTGTGGGGATGTAGTTCCATGGTACAGTACCCCTAAATTAAACCTCCAGTACAGAAAAAAAAAGGCAAGGGATTCAAGTAAGTATTCAAAAAAGACATAAATGCTAATCACTTTAAAAGATTCTCACAATCATAAAACATCAGGGAAACCAAAATGAAAACCACAATGAAACACCACTCAAACCCGCTAGAATAGTTACAATAAAAGACAGATTAATAGATAATAGGAAACAGGGAGTTAGATTTGTTTGCAAAAGGGCAGGGGACCAAGAGATGAAGGGAGCTGGACATAGTGGCATATACCACATTTCAGCATGCAAGAGGCTGAGACAGGAGGGTCACTATGAGTTTGAAGCTAGCCTGGGCTACATAGTGAGTTTAAAATTAGACTGAATTACAAAGTGAGATCCAAAAAACAATAACAAAAACAAAACAAAATGAGATGGAGGAGAGCAGAGGCAAGAAAGGGGAAAGCAATGAAAAGAGAATTGATACGCACAATATATACATACCAACTCCCAATGAAGAACATAATCATTACATACTGCAAACATGTACCAGTAAAAAGAAAAAAAAGACAGACCATGTCCTGCCACAGATTTTGATGTTCTAAAATCTGATAAAAGCTTGAAATCTTGTGTTCTGGACACTTTCCTGACAAGAGAATCACTGGACAACAATTCTTTTTTGGGGGTGGTGGTGCCTGGGATCAAACTCATGATTTTATGCTTACCAGGCAAGTGCTTAAGCCACTGAGCTAAATCCCCAGCCCTGGACAACAATTCTAGTAACTAGAATCAGTTTAATTTATAGGGTATGGTAGTTTTGCATTTAATAAATCAGCACTTTGAATCAGTACGACCCTCAGGAAATTCTCTGGTTCACATCCTCAGAAACAGTTGACATTATTTTGTGCATGTGTATTTACGGAGTGGGGTATTGAGAATTTAACTTGGGGCCTTTGCACTGAGCTACACTCCGAGAGTTTTTTTTTATTATTTATTTTTACTTTTAGGCAGGGTCTTGCTAAGTTACTAAGTTGCCCAAACTGACCTTTAACTCACAGCAGTCTTCCTGCTCAGCTTCTTAAGTGCTGGGATCACAGGGTGTGCTACCATTCCTGGCTCTCTTGAGGATTTCTGGGTGACTCAGCAAATAATGTTTTACATAGGGTAAAGCCATTATCATCATCTTCACCTAAAAAGAGTTGTTCCTTCTTAATTATCCTAACTCTGCTAATAAATATACCATATGATCAATCTCCCAATTTTATGTGGATAGTGATTCTTTTTCTTACCACCTTTATTGAATTTTCTTTCTGATGACCAGAATAATATATTCCTTATAGGCAAATGAAAAATATAAATAAATGAGTTACTCTCATCCTACTATCCACAGATAATCTCTCTCTTCTGTTATATGTAATCTGGACATATAGGAATATTCACATCACTTTAATATATAAGAAGTATTATATGCCTTTTGTTTTATAATTTATTTTTACTTAATGTAAGTTTAATTTTTAATGACATTGTAGAATCAAATTTTATATCATAATGGAATCAACCATTTTATTATTAGATATTTAGGCTTACTAATTTTTTCTCTATGTTATATATGTGTGTATGTGTGTGTGTGTGTGTGGTGGGTGGGTGGGTGTCTTTTTGAGACAGGGTCTTGCTATGCAGTTCAGGCTGGCCTTGAGTTTACTTTGTAATCCAGGCTGGTCTCAAACACAAAGATCCTCCTGCCTCAGCCTCCTGAGTGCTGGAATTATAGGCATATGCCACGACCCCTAGCACTTGTAGATTTTTTTTGCCATGTCTCGTTTTTTTCGTTTTTGGTATGGGGAATTGAACTCATGACCTTGCACTTGCCAGGCAGCCAATGTGCCACTGAGCTAATCCCCTTTTAATCCCCTTTGTTACTCTTGTTTTTTTTTTGGCTTTTTGTGGCAGGTTCTCACTACATAGTTCTGGCTGTTCTTGAACTTGCTATGTAGCCCAGGCTGAGGACTAGAGATGTAGCTCAGTGGTACAGCACCTGCCTGGCAAGCATAAGGTTGAGTGTGATCCTGGTACCAAAAAAGATAAATAAATTGTGCTGTAGCCCAGGCTGGCCAGGAACTTGCAGCGATCCTTCTGTCTCACTCTCCTGAATGCAGAGATTATAAGTATGGGTCACAGCTGATTAATTTTAAATTTTAGAGTAGTTTTGGACCTTAAGTTACAAAGGTAGTTCTCATATACAGCATATTCAGCTTCTTCTATTATCATGTTACATATCTTTCATGACTTAAATACCAACATAAATACACTATTAAACCAAGATCTGTAATTCTTTCATATTTACTTTGGGATTTTTTATTTTGTTTTTGAAGCAGGTATTGCTAAGTAGTTTAGGCTAGCCTTGAACTCACTATATAGCCCAGGCAGGCCTCAAACTTGCAGCAATTCTGCTGCTTCAGCCTTTTGAGTGCTGAGATTACAGGTGCACACCTGGCTGGCTTTGGTTTTCTACTTCATGTTGCTTTTCTATCTCAGGACACCACATTGCATTTAATGCTTGTGTCTTCTTAGCCCTCTCTTGGCTATGACAGCTTCTCACTTTCCTCATTTCTGATAACCTTTATAATTTTGAGAAGTATTCGTCAAGTATTGTAGTGTCCATTAACTATGATTTTTCTGATTTTCCTCAAGACTCCACTAGAGTTATAGGTTTTGGGGAGGAAGATCACAGAGATAAAATGCCATTGTCACTATATAATACCAAGGGTGCATACCATTAACACATCACTTGGTTGAAGTAATTTAGTTTTCTTCACTGTAAAACTACTCTCTCCCTCTGATCTCTTTCCATGTGTACTTTTTGGAAGGATGTAACTTATTATTATTATTATTATCTTGGTCTTTTTCGTTTTTATCGGTACCAGGGATCAAACTCAAGACTGCCTGCTTGCAAGGCAGGCGCTTATGCCGCTGAGCTAAATCCCCAGCCCCTGTAATTTACTCTTAAGAAGACAGAAGTGAATAATTTTCTTTCTCCTCTTCCTCTTCTTCTTCTTCTTGGTTTTGCTTATTTTGTTTTTGAGACGTCTTAATTTGCAGCTCAGGCTGGCCTTGAATTTGTGGCACTCTTCCTGCCTCAGATGATTTGGGATTAAGGCATGTGCCACTGCACATGGGCCCAAATGCAACAAAGTTGTTGGTTTACTCTTTCCTGATCTAGATGAACTGAACTGAGATGGACTGGCATGTGGAAATTAAATGTCTTGAAAAACACCTCCAGAGAAAAATGGATGTCTTGAGAAAAATGCATGTAAACTCTACATGTAGTTAGAGTCCCTGTATCTATAATTTAGTTTGTTAATGTCACAGTATAAAGAATGAATCTTTTTTTTTGTCTTTTTGAGACAGGGTCTCTCTATGCAGTTCAGGCTGGCCTTGAGCTCACTTTGTAGCCCAGGCTGGTCTTGAACTTGCAATGATCCTCCTGCCTCAGCCTCCTGAGTGGTGGGATTACAGGCGTGAGCCACCACGCCCAGCTCCAAGAATGAATCTTCTTATGAGATACGAAATTTTAAAAATGGGCTATAGAGTTTCCTATTTTTCTTTTTACTTTCCTATCTAAAAAATGATCAAGAGAAAGTATATGCTTTAGAGCACCTTACAGATATACCATAATAAATATTCCCACAAAACATTTTATTCTAATTTAAAAACATTTTTAAAATTTTATTTTAAAGAGAATAAAACCAAACAAAATAAAATAGATTAAGCCAATCAAAACAAAACAGTAATATAGGACTTCAAAACAAGACAATAGAAAATCAATGATGGCTACCATAATGCCTTTTGTTATTTTCAATATGGGTGTCCATAACATCAGACATGATAAAGTCAAACAAAACAGAACAGAATAAAACCAATCAAAGCAAACAATGAAAGCAATACAGGGCTTCAAAACAAGGTAATAGGAAATCAACAGTGGCTACCATACTGTATCTTCTTATTATAGATGCATGCCATGGTACCCAGCTTCTAATATATATATATTTTATTTCAAGGAGAAAGAAAACCTGAAAAAGACAAAAACAAAATGTCAATACACATCTATCAGGGGCAACAATGGTACATACATTGCGCACTGTCATCCCCAAATCATTCACCCAGAGCACAAGACAACTGCATTCAATTATCCAAACAAAACCAGCACAAATCTTTCTCTTCAGTGAATTCAGAGAAATCAGTAGAATAACTATCTTAACTATTTTTTATATATATACATACACACACACACACACACACATATGTTATTTTGGCTTCTCACATTAGTGAGACAATATTTTACACATGTAACATATTTTAAAGGAGGATTTTTCAGAGCTGATAGAAAATCAGTGCATTACTTTTAGTAGTTAGTACCATCTTTATTTTTTAGATTTAGTTGATAAATTTAACTAATTAATTTTTGAGAGGTTTTGTTATGTAATTCTGGCTAATTCGGAACTATGTAGCCCAGGCTGGCCTCAAACTCAGTGGCGATCTTCCTGCCTCAGCCTCACAAGTGCTGTAACTACAGGTGTGTGCCATCACATGTGGCATTAGTACTATCTTAATACATCAAAACCATGCTTACCCAATATATAACATTAATAATTACTGTACTGGTATTTTATATTAAATACATTGTAAGTTCTTTTTTAAATTTTTTTAAAAGATAGTAAAATACAACAGAGCAAGACAGAACAAAGCCAAGCAAGATTATTCAGCAAAATTGGTACAAAACTTCAGAGTAGGATACCAGGAAAACAGTAAGTGCTACCATAGCATATATTGTTATCTTCACAATTGTTGTCCATTCCATCAGGTATAGCAAAATCAAACCAAAAACTAAACACAATAAAACCAATCAAAACAGAATACTGAATAAAGCAAAAACAATCAGAACAAAACAGTGAAAACAGTATTGGACTTCAAAGACAAGATAGAAGGAAATCCCACACATTTGCTATATTGCATACTGTCATCTTCCTGAGAGATGTTCAGACCACTGGCCCTAGGCCTGCATAATCAAACAATATAAACATTTATTCGCTTTATGTACCTTAGTTGCTATCAACTCAGGCTGTCCTCTGAACCATCTGGTTGCTAATGGGAGTGAGGTGTGGTGGAGGGGGGTGTGGATTCTCAGCCCATGCGCCCCAAGTAGGCTTGTTCTGCTTACCAGGAACGCTGGATTGTTGATTTCTCGGTTGGTCCCCCAAGATTTGGCATGGCAGATTTTCGGGAGATGCTGGCTTTTATCTTCCTGGTACATATGCAGCTTGTGCCCTTTTTATTTTTTTTTCTTTATCTTTTGTTTTGTTTTGCTGTTTCGAAACAAGGTTTCACCAGGTAGTCCAAACTGGCCTTGTGTATACCAGGCTGGATTTATACTTGCGTTCTTTCTGTCTCAGCCTTTAGAGTGCTGGGATTACAGTTGTGTGCCCATTTTGCTAAGCTCTACATGGTGATTTTAAACATTCATGAAATATGCTATTGGATATGATTTCTCAATTAGTTTTATATTTGTGAAACTATAGGAATATAGACTTAATATAGATGTGATGTTATAGTCACAAAACCTAAGCGACTGGGAGTTCCTAACTCCCATATTGACAAACTACTAACATGTTTCAGGTAAAGGACTAAGTAAAATAAAGATTATTACTCAAGCATATTTTTCTGATGAGATTCAGGGTTGGTCTATATTCAATCTATCTTCAGGTAGAGACTATGAGTAGACAGTGTACTTTCTCTTTCAAATACACTGGGAACTGCCAGTCCATTTCAGTTCAGTCCAGATTTCCTTTTCTTCTGGCTTTGAGATTCATTACATTTCTTTAAAGAGCTTAATAAGTGTGCTCAGGGAGTTGCATCAGAAATTATTTCTGTATAAGTGGTAGGAATGACAAGTAGTTCCTTTGTAATGCTGCACCAGTCAATACCTGTTTTTGCCTCAGGATGTGTCCAACCAATTCTGGATAATCCAGCTTTGAAGTGGGTTGGGCAGTACCAGGCTTCTTTTTGTTGCTTAGTTTGGGTTGTGACCTAGTCATACACACCTTGAAAACTTAAATAGCACCGAGATATAAGCTAATTAAGTTCTACAAATGCTAAATACAGTGTATATGGAATTAACCTCAAAATTGTTCTCTATACTTTTATACAATAGATTTTTTTTATCTAGAAAGAACACTTATATAATGTATTCTGTCCACAAAAAATAGTATCTTTCTTTCACCAAAGAAAGCCAAAGAAATGTTAACTATGTTAAAAAATAATCATGTGGGGCTAGGGGTTTAGCTCAGCGGCATAAGCACCTGCCTTGCAAGTGCGCAACCATGAGTTTGATCCCCGGTACCACCAAAAAAAAAAAAATTGTGTGGCAGAATCAACTTTTATTTAAAGTTTTGGTACTGGGGATGGAACTCATGACTTCGCGCTTGCCAGGCAGGTGCTTGTGCCTCTGAGCTAAACCTCAGACTCTTAAAGTAATTTGAAAAATTATATTCTTTACAGAATTCAGAAACGTTTGAAGTAATGAAATACTAAATACTGCATAATTAAGATAGGTCTTTGTTACAGCTTGGCAAAGAGAAAAATGATACCTTTTGCTTTCAGTCAACCTCTGTTATAGGGACATTCTCTGGATCAAAGAATATTTGCCTGTAATCTCAGCACTCGGGAGACTGAGGCAGAGGAATGTTCTGAGTTCAAGGCTAGCCCAGACTACAAAGCAAGTCCCTATCTTAAAAAAAAAAATTGCCATACTTTTGCCACCAAATTCTTTTCTTGTGGTTTCCGATCATGAGATTAGTTGGAAGGTCAACACTTTTAAACCTGAAGTAGTATTTATTCCTTTATTTATTTTTGAGACTGGCTCATTCATCTAGTGCTAGGATCACAAATCTACACCACCACGCCCAGCCAAACCTCTATTGATAAAAGAGACAGAGGAGAAAACAGAGATGGATGGGTGGGGAGAGATCCTTAGAAGGGAAAATCTCCTTTGGTTAGCTTTGTTTTGTATCAGTGAAATCTGGCTAGAATTCGGCGTGGCAGAATGTGGACCCGGCGAAAGATGCCTGAAATACAAAGAAGAGATAGTAACTAACAAAGTAAGTCTTTCCTTTAAGTTTGGCACTTTGCTTGCCGCTGTGATATCGCATGATTTATTAATAATCACCCAATAAGGAAGGTGCCAATATTACTCTCATTTTACAGGGAACAACATCGAACGCGCCGAGCTCGTCCAGCACAGAAGTGGCAGTGCTAGAACTCGAAACTGCCCCGCACAGTGCGCGTTCAGTCCTGCCGTCGGATTCTGCACGCCCACTTGGCCGCCCTCTTCGTGGGGACAGTTCCCGGTACTGAGGGATGGCGCTGTCCAGCCCGCGGGTCCGCCGACTGCCTCTGGCAAGAGAACGCAGATCCGCCGGGCGACTGCGTTCAAGACTGGAAACCACCGCGCCCAGCCACGTCTTGGCACGCGGGCAGGCGGAGTCGCCTCGGGGTTTCCACGCTGCTCCCCGGGTTCCCTCCGCTCGGCGCGCAGAGCTCCCATTGGAAAGGCGGGAGGCAGCCAGCGAGAAGCGCTCTGATTATCCGCTCTCTTCCCCTTCCTTCCGCCCACACAGCCAGAGGCAGACGGGTTAAGCAGGCTCACCTGTCTCAGAGGTGGCTACTGTCCCAGTGACTGACGTCGCGGCCCTCCAACCAGGCAATGGCAGGAAGGTGGGGCCTCATTGAGACTGACGGCCTCTTTCCTCCAATCCCAGTGCAGCGGCTTTCCGGCCGTAGTTGCGGCGGTCGGCCGAAAGGGACAAGTGGGAGCGTCTCTTGCATCCTTGACGTACGAGCTCTGCAAGTGCAGAGTTAGGTCTACTACGCTTTTTATTAAGTTTTGCCACCGTCAATTCGGCCCTCATTTTAATCCGAAATGGAAATTTCCCAGCCCTTTCCCGTCACCTCAGATTGGGGCGGGATGAATAGAATCTTCACTGGCCTATTGTACCACGCGACGTTCTGTGACAAAGTGACCGACACTTTATGGCGCCAATGGAACTTCCCATTGTTAGGGGTCACTGTGACTGACCACAAGGCCAACTAATCCACTTTAAGGTCGCGACGCGATAGTCTGAGAAACTGACCAATAAACGTAGAAAAAGACCGGAAGTTCGTTTGTGGGGACTAGGAGGCGGGTGTTCGCAACCGCCTAGGCCTGCGCGGGTCAAAGCAGCTTGGGGGCTGCGAGCCAGCGAGCAGCGCGTGACGGAGAGCCTGAGTGACAGATCATCTTGGCCAATGAGCTGCAGCTTCTGAAGAGCTGCAGCCAGTGGCGAGTCTAGGGGGCGGGAAGCAGCAGGTTAGGCAGTGAGAAGTTAGTGGCGCTGCTGGGACGGGGGGAAGGAGACGCTTCTTCCTCCTGCTGCTCCTCTCTTTCTCGGAATCGGCGGCGGCGGCGGCTCCGAGTGACTCGGCAGCGTCTCCGGTTCGGCGTGTGAACCATGCTGACCGACGGCGGAGGCGGCGGCACCTCTTTTGAGGAGGACTTAGACTCTGTGACTCCGCGATCCGCCCCAGCCGGGGCCTCGGAGCCGCCTCCGCCGGGAGGGGTCGGGCTGGGGATCCACACCGTGAGGCTCTTTGGAGAGCCCGGACCCACGCCGGGAGTCGGGGGCGGTGGCAGCAGCGGCGCAGCCGGAGGGGACGCGGCGCTGGATTTCAAGTTGGCGGCTGCCGTCCTGAGGACCGGAGGCGGAGGTGGTGCCTCTGGCAGCGACGAGGACGAGGTGTCCGAGGTACGGCTTGCACACAGCGATTGAGGCGTGAATTATCTTTGGGCCAGCACGGGGCTGGGACCACGCTCCTGCTTCCCCGGGCGCGGTAGTTCTCTTGACAGCAGTCAGGTCCGTGGCGGTGGTGGCAGCCGTGCGGGCCTAGTGAGGGCTCGGCTTCTTCCTCAGCCCTCGGCCGGAGCGGGACGGGCTCCCGTCACCTTCCATAGACCCACAATAGGGAGTCGTTTGGTCTCAGAGCTTCGCGCGGGAACGAGGACTCGCTAGGCTACCTCCCGCCCACCCCGCTTTGGGGATGGGGGAGGGCGGGGTCTTGCCCAGTGTCCCTGCCCTTGGTACTGAGGGGAGACAGACCAACAATAGGTAGTTAACTGAGCTCAAAAAGCATTTCTACATTACCCTTCTCAAAGATGAAGCATGCATTGATTTGCCTTTTCTAGTAAATATCCCTTACCTGTGTATTCAAGTAGCGCTCGTATTTTCCCTTTTCAGTTTGAGACAGGTGACTATTAAGGAGCAGTCAGCTTTTACCCAGAAAAATCACGTGACCCTTGGCTCCTGGGACGTTTTGTGAAGTTAGACAGGAAAAGGAAGTTCCAATGCATCTCTGAGCTTCGGAATAGCTGGATGGCTTAACTCAGAGGTTTTTAGGCTGTGAAGTGAGGCATCCTACAGACACCTTTCTTTTGTAGTGAGGGAAATGAATGATCTGGGTTTTTAAAAATTTCTTTCAACTTTTATGTATATACTCTTATGTGCACACATTTTTAGGCCCGATCAATTTACGATGGGAGGCCGAATTCTCTTTTTTCGACTCTAGGGAAAAATAAATATGTATGTGTAAGGAAAAGGGGACGGTTTATCTCCCCTACTGTTTTCTCTTGACAACGACCTGTCCTTTGATGACTGTTTTAAGTGCTGAGAATAATCTGTTTGGTTCTAGGTTCCTTATGACCAATTATTTTAATCTCTGGTCTTAGTGTTAAAGTACAGGAATGTCTCTGTGCATATCAACAATCCTAGCTCCTCCTTTTGAGATTAATAAAAGCCAGGTATGGTGGTGCATGCCTCCTGAAGCCCAGCATTCAGGAGGCTGAGAGGCAAGAGCATTGCTAGGAGGCCTGCCTGGGCTGGGCAGCATAGTGGGTTCAATTCCAGCCTGAACTACATAGCGATACCCTGTTTCAAAAAAGGAGCAAAACACCAAAAACAAAAACACATATGAAAAGAACCCTAGATAAATAAAGAGAGTTTATTTTTGGGTTGCAGAATACAGTTAGGACTGAACAGGATTTTCTTTAAATTTAAAACCTTAGTATATTCTGACCCCAACATTTTCTTCTGAAAAAAAAAAAAAAGTATGCTAAATTTTAAGGAAACTAGTTCCTTGAGTGTGTATGTCTTGAATTTTAGTATACGGGAAATAGCTATGAGTGCAAGGTGAGATAAGGAATTTTACTGTTAAGTTATGGGGCAAATCTCTGGAGTACCCTCACACTTGGGCTATTAATCTCGTCAGTGAAATTTGATCAGAATGAAACTACAACACATGGACTTTTAGCTAGGAAATAAATTGGAAGGCTGTTTTGTTTTGTTTTGCTTTTTACCTTACGGTTATCCTCCCGCCTCAGCCTTCCACGTACTGGGATTACTGGTGTGGGCTAGCACACCCTGCTTGAAAGTTGACTTTAGACTTTGTAGCTTACTGTAGTTTATTTTTCCTTGAAACCTGTAAGGGAGAATCTGAAAAGGTTTCCTTTAGTCTTAAGTATGATGAAGTTTCCTTGATTTTTCTGGACCATTTTTACATAATTATAAGTGAGATTAGAGACTGATCACTTGTTTGCTTTTTTTATGTAAGCAGGTTTTAAATTTTTTTAGAGTTAGAGTACTGATGATACTCAAAAGTTATAAATATTCCCTCTTCCATTTTATCTGGTGTCCCCATACCATGAGGTTAAGTTATGGGCACAATCCACACCTTTTGCGTCTTTTTGACATTAATTGTAGAAGTCATGATTTCAGGGTTTCCATACTCATTTAGCAATTGCTAATGTAAAAGAACCCTTTATTCTCCTATTTACTTATATTTTCTGAACCATAAAAGGCTTTAGGAATAAATGCATATGCAGACTTCATTTTGTAATGAAAGATTCTAGTGTAACTACAGACTTCAGTGTAAGTTAAGATGATATTTGAAGGGAAAGAATTTTGTGTCCCATTTCTTGTCACATGGAGGAAATTCTTGGTATACCTAGTCTCTGCTTTATAGTCTGTGTAGTAGGGTATAGAATAAAATAATCTATTTTTCCTAGGAAATTCCTAGCCTTTTCTGTTTTCTAAGATTAGCTACCTAATTGAAATTCGATGAATAATACTAAAATCCTTATTTTTGTCTTAATTGTTTTATACATTTTGTGTTCAAAGAGACAGATACTCTAGGACTTCTTTTCTGTTTATTATTCAGAGCCAAGAGTTGAGAATAAACAAGCTGTTTTCCCATGCTAATTAAGTCAAAAGACTTTCTAGTTTGATAAAAGGATTTAGTTCTATCAATAAATTCTTTTAATGTTAGAATTATGCTATCTTAGAGAATGCCATCAATTTAGTTTTTGTTTTTTTGAAACATTGGGATAAATATCTTTTATATTTCTTCAGGCATATTGAGCATGTTCCTTAGCTGTCTAAGGCCTTTAATAGAAGAGTCATAACTTGAACTGGATACTGTTGATATGTACCCATTATTCAGAATAGAGGTCATGTTAAAAATTCTTTAAAAACTAGTTTTTAAATGTTAATTTTAGAGTTGCAGTCTTTTTTAAAGGAAGCTTAAAAGTAAAATTTCCAAAGATAGGCCTTTATGAAATTTATGGTTTTTAATGTTTCTATCTTAAAAATACATGCACATGTTATGTATATGTATATATTGTGTGTGGGAGGTACTTTAAAATTATTATAAAAAGTCAATCTCATGGCGAAAAATTCAATATAGATAGTAACTATGACATAACAAGTAAAAGTCTTCCTCACACTCCCCTCCTTCAAGACCTACTCTTCAGGGTAACCAGTGTTAAAATTTTTGTTTCAAGCTGGACCTGGTAGTTCAGGCCTGCAATCCCAGAACATTGTGAAGTTTAGGCAGAGAGACAGCAAGTTTCAGCCCAGTCTGGGCAACTTAGCAGAATTATGTCTTAAAAATAAAAAAGGAATGAAGATGGAGTTCTGTGCAATTTCTAATAGTGAAAAAAAATTAGCAAATTTTCTAGACCTATATATCTGTATATTGTATACATGTTCATATACATTCACTTTAAAGATAGGTAGTAGAAAGTATAGCTTTATATTATACCAAGTTTTTTTTCTCTTGAGCACGTGCTTTATTTACATTTGTATAAAAGCACACAGAAATTGAGCATAACTGTGAAATTATAGCACAAGCTCTTTAAGGAAGAACTAGTACATTTTTTCATGAAAATAGTGTTTTTTAGTCAGAAGGCACTGGTCGTATGAAAGTTCTATGTTGGTTTTTCTCCAGTAGCAAAGGAATTGGTTTATTTTCTTAGTCACTTAAGATCTATCATGTAAAGGAGGATACTCAACACCACATATTGACATTTTGGGCCAGATAATTGTTTTTGTGAGGGGTCCTTCTGTGCATTAAAAGCATCCCTGATTTCTATTCACTAGATGCCAGTAGTCAAAAATTGTCCAGACATTGCTATATGTCTTCTGGAAGCAAAATTACCCTTCTTAAATAAGAATTGTTGGTCTAGAGGCCACTCTTGTCAGAGATGGCAATTTTGTCATGAATATTCTGTATTCAAACTTCAGGCAAACAAGGTGAGTCACTGCTTTTAATAGCATTTCAGGGTTATAGTCATAAACAGGAGAGAAATAGAAAGTTCTGAAAGGTTTAGTGTAGAACTACTGCATACTGCTGTTAATTTTTTATGGTAAATTTATTAGTTTGGGAAACTTCCATTTTAAAATACTATCTTTCCAAAAAGTATAATTATTTTTTATAAAAATGAGTTTTAAAAACTTACGGGTATATTGTTTGTCCAAGTAGAAAGGACTTTATTTTATTATTATCATTAGTAATGATAAAATAGCAAGTAGAACTTTGTATTCTATTTGGCAAATTTTGGGGACACTGGAAATGTTTATTGAAGAAAAATGAACACCATTATTACTGTAACAATTTGTTATATACTGCGTAAGTATCAACCTTGCATAAGTTTCATTCTGTAAAATCTTCGGACTACATATAAACTGATAGATGATGATTACAGTTATATGAGTTATGAATGGTAGGTCAATACAGAGTTGATTAGTTTGGAGAGAGGAAAACTATTGTGAAACTTGAAGTACGTGGGATTTTTTTGAGGGGCAGGTTTTTATTTAGTATACATTTTCAACAAGTGATTATATCCATATAGCTGATAAGTCAGAATAATATAAGGGCACATAAGTGAAGTCTTGTTTCTAAACCTGCCCCCACATACCCATCCCTCTATACTTTTAATGTTTTCTATATACTTTCAGATTTTTTTTTTCTTGTGCTGTGAGGATTAAATTTAGGGCCTCAAATATGCTAGATAAGCTCTCTACTACTGAGCTGAACAAATACATTTTCTTTATTTTTGCACAAAAGGTAACATACTCTTCATGTGAGATTTTTAAAATGACAATATAATTTTGAGAGAAATTTTTAAATTTTTTTAAAACTAGGATGTGACTGAATGGCAGAACATTTGCTTAGCATGCACAGACACGCTGGGTTCACCATTCAGCACTCAAAAGAAAAAAAATTACAACTCATTAAAAATGAAGCATGGAGATGAATTGAAATGCATTTCTTTCTCAGCCTATCTGGTAGTAGAGTGATGATGGACTTAATGACTTCTGAGAATCAGTTATACTTTTTGAATTCAATGATAAGTTAAAATAAGTTGCTTTAAAGAAAAGCAAAGTAGCTCACAAGAGTATTTACCTGGAGTTGC